GGGGACGGGGTCACCCACACTGTGCCCATCTACGAGGGGTACGCCCTGCCCCACGCCATCCTGCGTCTGGACCTGGCTGGCCGGGACCTGACGGACTACCTCATGAAGATCCTCACGGAGCGTGGCTACAGCTTCACCACCACCGCCGAGCGGGAAATCGTGCGTGACATCAAGGAGAAGCTGTGCTACGTCGCCCTGGATTTCGAGCAGGAGATGGCCACGGCTGCGTCGTCGTCCTCCCTGGAGAAGAGTTACGAGCTGCCCGACGGGCAGGTGATCACCATCGGCAACGAGCGGTTCCGCTGCCCGGAGGCTCTCTTCCAGCCTTCCTTCCTGGGTAGGTGTGGGGCAGTGGGGTGCCAGGGGTCCCACTGAGGCTGGGCAGGGCGGTGCTGTTTGTGGCCTCCAAAGGGGCGTGTGCCTTCTAACGGAGAGCTTTGTCTCTTAGGTATGGAGTCCTGTGGCATCCACGAGACCACCTTCAACTCCATCATGAAGTGTGACGTGGACATCCGGAAGGACCTCTACGCCAACACGGTGCTGTCTGGCGGGACCACCATGTACCCTGGCATCGCCGACAGGATGCAGAAGGAGATCACAGCTCTGGCGCCCAGCACGATGAAGATCAAGGTGAGTCCAGGGCAGTTGTGCGCTAGGGGCTCCGAGGCCTTACTGTGAAGACCACACCACAAGCTAACAGCCACGTTCTTGTTTTTACAGATCATTGCTCCTCCTGAACGCAAGTACTCCGTGTGGATCGGGGGCTCCATCCTGGCCTCACTGTCCACCTTCCAGCAGATGTGGATCAGCAAGCAGGAGTATGACGAGTCAGGCCCCTCCATCGTCCACCGCAAATGCTTCTAAATGGACTGCGAGCAGATGCGTAGCATTTGCTGCATGAGTGAATTCCGGAGTATAAGTTTGCCCTGGCAAATGTATACACCTCATGCTAGCCTCATGAAACTGGAATAAGCCTTTGAAAAGAAATTTGTCCTTGAAGCTTGTATCTGATATCAGCACTGGATTGTAGAACTTGTTGCTGATCTTGACCTTGTATCCAAGTTAACTGTTCCCTTGGTATATGTTTAATACCCTGTACATATCTTTGATTTAAACCCTTAGCACATGTGGCTCGGTCAGTTCGTGGCTGAGGTTGAGAACATGTTGATGGAAGAGAAATCCATTGATTGGAGAATCTGCAAGACCATGAGGTTCTTGATCTGTGCAGGGTATTAATGTCTAAGAGCTGCCTATTCCAGGATTTCTCTAGAGGCTGGCAAGAGTCCTGAATGAGTTGTCATTTCTGTCTTGCCGGTCTTAACAGGGTTGGGAAGGTCCGAGCCTTAGGACCCACTTTTCCTTTCTTACCCGATGTTTTCCTGCCAGAACACCGTGGGTTGTTAATTGCCTTGAGTTGGAAAACGGTTTGCATTTACAACTGTAAATTTATTCATCCTTTTAATTTATGTAAGGTTTTTGTACACAATTCTCAATTCTTTAAGAGATGACAACAAATTTTGGTTTTCTACTGTCATGTGAGAACATTAGGCCCCAGCAACGCGTCATTGTGTGAGGAAATAAAAAGTGCTGCAGTAAAGTGCGGTGGCTTCTGTTTGCGGGAGTGGAGGGGTGGGGCTTGGGGACAGAACTCCCTGGCTGGAATTGGGGGACAGTGTGGATTCTTTAGAATGAAAAGTGATTATATCTTAAGAACCAGGTCTGGTGAACAGTTGGCACAGTTTGAGAACTGGGGAGCCCCTCCCATGGAGGAAGGTTTGTGTACAGGGAATCCTGTGCCTCTGCCCCCCCGCCGAGCTGAGACTACAAGCAAGGGTTGTATGTCTCAAATGACGGTTTGGGTACTTGGAAGGCTATGCTGCCAAGAAGCGCTTGAAGCCAAGCCATACAGGGGTGGGTTCCCTCCACATGCAGGTGGTTGTGGGACTTTGGGGTTCCTTTTCTGACACAAGCTCAGTGGAGCGGCCATGAAAATGAAAGTTCATGAAATCACTGGGTTCCTGAACCAAGGGCCTGGTCATCAGTGGTGTGAACTTGACCAACTTGCCCCTCAAAAACATCCTTGTTTGTGCCCCTGGCTCAGTCAAAGGTTCAGTGCTTCTAGTGGTAGACCTGAGTTAGGCAGCTTTTTCAAAATATTCAAGTTGCCTTGCAGGTTGGGTCAAGGAAATAAGTTTTGTTTTGAGAGAGGGTGAACGTCGTGAGTGGGGGGACAGAGGGCGAGGGCGAGAGAATCTTCAGCAGTGGAACCCAACTCGGGACCTGATCTCACAACCCTGAGACCTGAGCCGAAATCAGAAACAAGACGCTTAACTGACGGAGCCACCCAGATGCTTCAAGGAAGTAAGATTTCTTAACTTGATTGAAAACATTCAGGGATTTGGAAGGACTTCTCTTTGAAGTGGTTAGGTTCTACTGGCTGGTGGACCATTTTTGCCTTTGCTACTGGGAAGCATGTTTCATCAGTGGGGAGGGCGGTGGCGCTTCATAGGTCCCATCTTGGTTGGAGAGGGGGCTCTGTTAGGCTTTGGAGCCAGGGGACCCGGGAGCACGTGACTGAAGGCTGTGGAGAGTCTCCCAGCAGAAAGTGGGCTCTCCCAAGCCCCGGACTTCGTCCTGCATTTCCTTCCTGGGACCACCCATGGGAACATAGCGACCGATCAAACTACTTTCTGACCCTGGGCTGCTTTCCACTTTCAGTTGGGTCGAGGTCTGGTCCGCAGTGCGCTGGATCCCAGCAGCAGAGGAGAGACGGCTCCATGTGTTGGGTAGGAGAGCAGGGGAGGGGAACACTTTGATTCTAGAGCCAGAAGAAAGGGGGCCACACTGTCTGCCCTATCCTGGCCCCACCCTTCTGGTGTTGGGGCAAGTGGGCCAGTCCCTTTACTGTCCCCACACAGGAGAGTGGTGGTTTCTCCTCATGGGTGTGAGGACGCAGTGAGGTCCCCCGACACCTGAGCCAGCAAACCACCTGTCAGCATTTCTCTCAGGAGCTCCAAGTCCATCAAGATGCTAAGCTTTGAGAAAGGAGATGGGGCTTGGGATGACTTTGGAAACAATCTGCTCAAACCAAAGCAGGACAAGGATAGTTTCTGCGAAGACCGTCATGAACAAAGTCAACAGACTACTTGGGCTACTTGGGCTAAGTGGAGAACCAGGGATTTATCTCCAGACTATGCAAGGAGCTGCGAACCAAGAGACAGTGGGGAAAATCTGCAGACGAGTAGGAGAAAGCATACAAGTGGACAACTTCCAGAAGATGAAACCTCAGAGGCTAATGTCTTAAATACTGCCCAGCTTAATGAATGGAAGCTTCTAGAAGGGATGCCTCCTTGGAGAAGTTTCTTGTACACCCGGGGACTCAGTGCACCCCTGCAAGGCTCCCCTTCCCCAGGGCTACCCTGGTGTCCTGACCGTGAGGCAGAGGTGGACGCGCTCTGAGTGGAGCAAGAGGCTCGAGGGTGCCCAAGCTTTCTGCAGTGTGAGGAGCGTCCACACGCCTAGCGGGTGGTCAGTAACTGCTCCAACCTGGAGTCGGTGTCCCCAAGCAAGAGATGGACATTGTGTTTATTGGATGCAATTCCAAGTCCAAAGTCCTCTTTCATCTCAAATGGCCAGTGTTTTAGTAGAGGACAGAGACCATTTCAAGGATTCACACTGGAAAGCCTGGTCTCTGGTGAGTGAGAGACTGGCTTCCAGGACCTTTTACGGTTAGAGACCCCAAACATCCAACTCAGAGAGCTTCTGTCTGAGAAGCACGTGAGCTGCTGCTGCTACACATGGAGCCCCCATGGCCTACCACAGCTGTGCTGGCCTGCAGCCTCATCCCCCCGATTGATGGCCAGCCACGTGTTCTTTCCTGCAGGAAGCTTCCCCTCCCTTTCAGCTCCCTGTGGGGGCCTCTCCTAGGGGTGCCCTCCAGGGAGGCCTAATCAGAGTGCATGATTCCCAAGGGTCCTCCTACATTTGCAGGAGGCTGCATCTCTCTGGAGAGTTACACCTCCCACCCCATTGATGGCGGGTTTGGCCATGGGACATGTTTTAGACAGTGAAATAGCTTGAGGAACGTTAGGAGCCAGTGTAGAGTGGCCCTGCTCTCTTTCCCCTCTGCTCTGGGACCACGGTATTCCAGAGAGAGGCTTCTCCATCAGTCTGGAGGCTGGAGAGATGCCATCAGAGCCAACCTGGATGGACATACAGGGTGAGCAAGAAAGAAATCCTTATTGCTAGAAGTCAATGAGATTGTGGGGTTACTTGTTATGCAGCATAACCAAACCTCTCCTGCCTGATATAGCATCATAGTATATGTGAGTGGTACCCTCTGTACAGGAAATGAAGAGCCCAGAAATAAACCCTCATGTCAAGTGATGTTCAACAAGGGGGCCAGGACCACTGAGGAGGAAAGGACAGTCTTTTTAACAAAAGGTGCTGGGAAACTAGATGTCTACATGCAAAAGAATGAAGCTGGACCCTTACCTCACGCCATATACAAGCATCAACTCAATACTGACCAAAGACCAAAATGTAAGACCTAGAAGACCATGGAAGGAGAGCCTTGTGGCATTGGATTCAGCAGGGGTTCCCTAGGTATGACAGCAAAGTCACAGGTGACAAAAGAAAAAAATAGACAAAGAGGACCTCATGAAAATTCTACAATTTGGCACATGCAGAGATGCCATGTGCCTGCGGATTTGATGACTCTGGAACCTCATGGAGGTGGAGCCACACAGCCTTTGTCTTTTTGTGTCTGCTTTTGCCACTGTTCACGGTGTCCTCTGGGTTCATCATGTTGTAGCGGGTGTCATCGTGTCCTTCCCCGTCTCGGTGTAGACTGCAGTCTGTCCATCTGTTCATCCGCGCCCAGACACCGTGTGGCTCCCACCTCTTGGCTCCTGGGAATCGTGCTGCTGGGAGCATGGGTGGAGAAACATCTCCTTGGGTCCCGCTTCTCATTCATTTGGGCACTTACCAAGAGGTGGAATTCCGGATCACACGGCAATCCTAACTTTTGGGGATCCCATCCCGTCTGCACAGCAGCGGCCCATGTCACGTTCCCACCAACCGTGCCCCCAGTTCCTCCACACCCTCACAGCGCTCGCTGTTTACCGCTCTGTCGCTAGTGCCGCAGGCTCTTTGAGGTGAAGCACTGTGGGCGCACCAGGGTCTCCCCCCCACTCACGCAGGGCCCGCCTGGCACACAGGAGGTGCTCAGGACCTGTCCAGCTTATCTGAGCCAGCAGACTCAGTCCTGCCTCCAGGGCAGTAAAACAAAGCACTCAGAACACACTGAAGCTGAGGACTCAGGGAGCAGAGCTAAAACATGGCCTGGACGAGACGGGGTGCTGGGGGACCCTGGGGGCTTCAAGGGCATGGAGGGGATTCAGGACCAATGGACACCCGAGCTTAGCTCACTTACAGGACTTCACCGTAGAAGGGCGTGATCTGCAGAACTTACAGGCCAGTTGCCACGGAGGCCAGGCAGGGGACTGGACTGAGGGGGCTCTGTCTCCCCTGACCCCAAGCTGGGCTCCATGCTCCCAGAGGCCTTTGGTGGCTGGGTGGTCCCTCTGTCCCGAGCCAGCCAAAGCCTTGGCACTCAGAGCCACAGGAGACACCCCAAAGGAGAGTCATGGCTGTGCCATCTGCCCCCGGAGTGGGGTCTTGTCGGAGGGACAGAACAGAAGGGCCCTCTCTGTCCTCTTGCTGTGGGCTCCTCACAGCCTGCTGACTGCCCCCGACGTGCTGTCATCTGGGGTCTGTCCCAGCTCAGCTCCTGTCGGGATCAGAGCCTGCCTGGGATGCCCGCCATGGCTGTGTCCCTCTGGCACCCCCTGGCCTGAAGTCTGCACCCTGCCCCATGGCCCTCCCAGCAGCCAGTTCCCTCCCCCTCACCTGGGTTTACATTTCCCAAAGCAGAGGCTGATGGGAAGCTGTGATTTGGGGTGTGTGTGTGAGGGGTACTAGAGAAAGCCCTGCATTTTTGAGACCCTCACTCAGGGGCCCTGCTCCCAGGGAAGGGGGTGACTCAGCTGTCTCACGAGGAGCAGGGGGCTTCTGAGGGCTGTGGGAGCCATCCGATGGGCTGGACAGATCCAAGGTGAAGCCTCAGCAATGGTGAATACCGCGGGACTAGTCTAGCTCCTGCCCAGTGCACCTGCCCCTCCTTCAGCCGCCCACCGGCCCCAATATCACACCCCCCCTTACCCCCCTCCCTGTCCTTTGTGGAAATATAGCTGCTGGCCGGTGAGAACAAGGGGCCTGGCCCCTGCACCCCAGCCGGCTCCTGCAGAGGAGGGTAGAACCCAGAGCAGCAGAATTCAGATGCCCCCGCCCCCAGCTTCCCCACCCTGGGCCCAGGAGGGATGGCTCCAGGGGCTGAGTCTCTCCAGCAGGACACAACGGGCCAGATGGGCCCTGGAGGTGGGCCAGCCTTCGACTGCCCGTCCTGCCTCACCTGCTCTGGCCCCATGGTGGTACTGAGAGCCCCATAATTCCTGGTGGCTCACTGGGACCGCAACACTCCTCACCTTGGACTGGCCTCACCAGAGCCCCGTCCTCAGCCTCATAAGGAAAAGACCCCACAGTGTTAGAGGCCTGCACTGCCTGAGTCATGAGGAAACTCTGCCTCTGGGAAACAGGCATATATTTCTTTTATTTTTTTAAAAAAGATTTTATTTATTTGAGAGAGCGAGAATGAGAGAGAGAGGGAGAGAGAGCACATGAGAGGGGTGAGGGTCAGAGGGAGAAGCAGACTCCCTGCCGAGCAGGGAGCCTGATGCGGGACTCGATCCAGGGACTCCAGGATCATGACCTGAGCCGAAGGCAG